CTTTATCAGTATATCAAAAAGGAGTCTACTTTACTGGCATAAAAGTGTTCAACAATCTGCCACAAAGTATTAAAAACTTGGGCAATGATACTAAAAAGTTTAAATCAGAGTTAAAGAATTATCTACATGCTCATTCCTTCTACTCTTTAGATGAATACTTCAATGTAAATAGAGAATGATGTAAAATTAAGTTATATTAATTTTTAAGCTAAAATTGCCTGTACTTGTGTATGTAACCCTTTGACTTGTTCTGTATCCAAAGGTACTAACCTACTTAGGATTTATAGAATGTAAATAAATTCAATTCAATTCAGATAACTCAAATGCACCCTGCCAACAATAGGTTCCTTTGGTAACAGTTCACATATTACTTTTGTCAGCCATATGAATATTTGTGACTACTAATAAATAATTTACAGTACTGGAAAAACAAAAAGTGATGTAATTTCGACATATGTGCAAATAAAACACTTTGTGCAAAGAAATGCTTTCTTGCAAGTTTTCTTGAGAAAAGAAGTTGGTTGGTTTCCAGTGGCTGCATTTGGGATTATTTAACCCATTTTGCTTCTTGCTTCCCAACAGAGAGCACTCAAGTTCTTGTTTTGTTGCATCTTGAAGAAGTTTGCCCTTTTCTTTTGGGAAGCCTTGCCAGGTTTGTTGCTCATTTTGCACTACCCAGGGGACATGTATGACTTCAAGAATGTCACAGACACAAGCAATTTTGTATCCATCTGAATTTTAATGTTGATTTATCAGTCTTGGACTTCTTTCTTTCTTTTTTTAAGTGCACAGACAGGAGCAATGAAAAGCTTTTTCTCTTTTCCACAGTGGTCAGACCACCCCTGAAGCCTGTACAGCCTCCTGTGCAATGGCCAATGGGTATAAGGTAATTTTTTGGTGGTGATAAAGAGGCTGGGATATAAAGCTGACCACTCACCTCAATCTAGAGCAGAGGTCAAGAATGTTGGAGCTGTATCTCCACTCCCCTATAAGTCTTCATGGCATAATGCTTAGTTAACTAAACACAGGGACAACTTTACCTTAGCATACAGACTACCTGTTTCATCAGAATTGTTATGGCTCCACATTATGAATCAGCTTGTCAACAAAATATCTGCATCCCTCTTTCTGCCCATGGTGAAAAAGGACATGGCCCTAGAATTGTTTTTTTTTTTTAAGTATAATGGCCATGACAATTTTTCACTACAAAGGATGTAATATCAGATATTGTTGTAAATTATCGTTACAGGGAAAATAGTGGTCAAGTTTAGAAACTTCTTATTCTCATCGTCATTCTTAAAATGTTTTCAGTTGTCATCTCAGTATCATTTTGAACTTCAAATCATCCTTGTGTTCTGTAGTTACTGAGAATACTTTGCTTCAAGAGTTTTCATTTTGCCTGTCGTATGGAAATTACTGTAGCATATCATGTTGTTAAGAGTCATAAAAGAAAACATTACTAACCAACCAAAACTGTCATTTGATGAAGAGCCCAATAACTTTGTAAAGTGTGAAATCTGGTCACATAAACATGATGTATTCTGATTTGTTGTAGCCCTGTTCCTGATGGATAACAACGCAGGAAATGAATTGTGGCTCTGGCAAGGCTGGTGGCCTGATCATAAGGGGGAGGAGACTGAAGGGAGTGATGCACGTGGTTCAGGTGCGGTGCGATGGCAAGCTGAACGGCGTGCTGCTATGCAGACTGCATTGGACTATTGGCATTCACAACGTGAGACCAAGGAGTCTCCAGCTGCTTACTTGGTGTGGGCAGGATTGGAGCCTCTGCAGTTTACCAACCTGTTTCCTATCTGGACAGACAGAGATGACATAGCAGAGCTCAATATAAGGGTTGGTATTCCTTTGCAGTGTTAACAGAATTGTGGAGCATTTATTTAACTCTGCAGAAGTAGATTAATGCCCGCAGTCACAACAGGAAAATCTTGAGCTGTAATCTGTACCTCTTAATACTTGAAGAAATGCAGCTGCTTTCCATGTTTACCATTGGGCCCAAGGATGATTGTTTTTTAAAGCGTGATAAAAATTAATAGCACAGCTTTCTTCAGAAAGGAAGTAATGCTGGGGAGGGGCACATGCAGTACATTTATGGTGAGTAAAAGAGTGTGTCACTCATGATACATAAAATGAGCGAGGGCAAAATTAGATGCCATTTTTGGTTGCCCACAAAGCTTCTAATTCTTCCTCTAGATGCTGCTGTGGTTGCATGACCTTGGAGACCTCCAGTGGACAAGAGTGGGAACAAATTGGAAGCATTATTGTTTGAGTCCTGATGTGTGTCATGATTTGTGATACTCTTGCCATCAACACAACAGATTTTTCAAAATGAACCAGTATAGTTGTTTACATTGGTATTATATAATAACTGCTACATATTTTGGACCATCCTCATGCAGTTGCATTGAAACCAGCAATTGGAACAGCAGAGAAACAAACGATAAGAAGGACACAGTATGCTCTAAAGAGGAAAGAATCTCATGATGTCACACTCAAGAGAGCAAGATTAAACACACAGAAACTAAGAAACTGATATTATATGTGAATAGTGAATGTGAATAGAAAATATATAAAAACATAACAGATCAAGGAAGATAGACAGCACCTACGACATGTGACAGCACAGAATTTTCGTTGTAACAACAAGAGTATTTTTAAAACTTTAAAATATATTTTTACAGTTTTAGCAATAATTGCATGAAAAGGTATAGTTTTCCCTGTGCTGAACTAATTAAGCACTACACATGAAGGTGTATGCGGGAATGGATGTATAGATCCACATTTTCTTGACCTCAGCACTATTTGGAAGTGAGTGGTCAGCTTCACGCCCTGGCAATAATTACATAGAATATTTCAATAACATGGGATGTATTTAATGAAACTGCGTGAGGATGGACCAAAATACGTAGCAGCTATTAAATGACGCAATGTAACAACTAGATTTGTTTATTTTGAAATATTTATTGTGTTGATGGCCAGAATAGCAAAAGAAAATAAAGACTTGGGGTCACTTAATCCAACTGAAATACACTGGATAATGTAACTTACCCAAGTGGTGTCAGAATAGGAAACGAGTCACAAATGTGCCAACCAGTTGAGGTTAAAAGCACAAATGGCTTAGTTTTCAGAGAGCAGCATTAGCAGTCAACCAACCAGCTGTTCCTTTCCATAGGAACTGATTAATGCAATAAAGATGTCTCCACTCAAGATGAGAAGGAGAGAGAGCTTTGAAAAATAAAGTTGAATTAATTGTAGTGCCATTATTTAACCTTTATCGTCTATATTTAAATCTCCCATTGCAACAGTGCTGGCAGCCAGATTTAAACTTGGCAGTGCAAAGCAACTTCATGCTTGCTGAACCAGGGCATGTAATTGGTTGCTTTGTTAGCTAATGACTTTGCATAGCTTATTAGACTTTATGTTCATTAATTGCTTATTGGATGTGTTATTTCGGGTGTAACCCTTTTCCTTACAAAGCTACAGGTATAGTATAGTATAGTATAGTATTTATTCAGTATTCTAGACATCCACAAGATGGATACAGAACTTGTATGGAAGCACGTGTGGAGTCAGAAGTTTCTTTATAGGTCATTCAAGATTAACCATACCAAACTTGTCACTGCAACATCTGTTTTTTCATATGTAAAATAAGTATATGATTTACATTCAATTAGTTTTTTACAGTCTCACATGCAACACTGTGTTTATAAAATTTACTAACAGTTTATCACTACATGTTTTGACCAATATGGTCATGATCAGGTGTTAAAATTATGGAGTGAGGAAACAAGTCTTCTGTTTCGTTGCCTGTGTTGTCAATATAGAAGTTCCCGTTGATGTGCATTTGTGTTTGAGTTGGTGGGTTGTGTTCTCCTGTTATGTGTTATCTGTCTTGTTTTTGAATATTAGGTATATGGTGAACCATAGTTAAATTTAAGCTTATTCAACAGACTGAACCCAAAATGAAACATGCTTGTCAGCCCTCCAAGTAAACCCCCCTACAAATTCTCAATGTAATCTAAATCCATTCAGTAATTTTGGAGATAAAGCATATGGTTAGATGGAATAATACTCTGTTGTGTGTTTATTTCGTGCATTCGTGTAAAAATATATAAAGAATAGAATGAACCTTTCACATGCTTGTTATTGCTTGAGCTTATATGCTGAAAGTTTCCCTGTCTTTCATGCATCATACATCGTCTTTCCGCATGTGTGCACTAACACTACTAACTTGGACAGGATGTTGAAAGCATTTATTCTGTTAAATTTATTACAGTTATGCACCCAGGAAACTTGGTTCATATTCATTTATTTGTTTTTAATTCTGTAAGAATTCAGGTAACTATCAGCTTTTTATGCACTAAGCAGAATGGAAAATGAGATGTTGCATATAACATTTAAAATTTACGTTATATTTTTATTTTGAAACTGACACATTATTTTTTGTTTTGTGGTATAAACAGTGTTTTGTGCTTTCTTGTTCCTGTGTCTGCTGTTTTCTAATATAAAAGGCTGTAATACTTTCAAAATATTGTAGATATATGTGAAAATGTTTATAATTGATTTAATATCAATTAAATTTAATTTTTATTGACTTTTGGGGGGAGGGGGAAGCCTGAAAATTTACCTTTCATCTCTTACTGATTTCATTTACCTTCCGAATTGGATGTGTTGTACAATGTTATAAAGTAGCTGAACCATAAGAAGCATTACAGCTTTTAATCATGATTTAGCAAGAAAGTTGCATGTGATCATACTTTTTTGTACCTGGCTGTGTAGGACGGACGGAAACCTGGCGAAATTCTTAAAGTCGAGGAGGAACTGGCTAGACTGACTTGTTCAACATATCCTGTGGCACAGCTGCTGCAGAGACCTCTACCTGATGGAGTGGATCCTACTCGTCTGGAAGTGTATCTTGACCCACAGCATTTTCAGGTAAGCACCGACTTTCATCAAAACAAGCTTTAAGGCTTGTTTCTAAAGCCACCAAAAGTCTTGTGTTGTTACTTGAATGTATAATTAAGGATTGGTATTATGAGTGTTTCTTAAAGATAACTTCGATATATTATGCGTTATTCCACTCTCACATACACTGGGTGTGTCATTAAACAGACCTAGCTGCCATGGTGGATCAAATGGGAGAAAGCATGTAAGTTACACTATAAGTGGAATATAGTCAAATAATGAATAGAAAATGTTTGTATTTAATTAAACAAAGAATATGCTGCATTAAGGTTCATCTCTGAGCAAAATAACAGCTTTGGTGAATGAGTAAATACTAAAATCCCAAGCATAATATGGCCCAAAATGAAAATGAACATCCTTAGTACAATCTACACATCACCTGCCCATATGGCAATGGTAAAAGGTAAAGTTGTCCCTATGCTTAACTAATTAAGCATCAGATGGAGCTGAGTGGTCAGCTTCATGATCTTGCTGCTTTACACCCATTGGATAGGAGGTTGTGTGGGCCTCGGAGTTGATCTGGATGCTGTGGAGAAGAGAACAGCCCTCTATCCTGAAGCCCATTGCTATACTGACTGGGCTATTTCAGCTCTGTGTCACATGCTGATGCAAACTTCAGTTGTCCTCAATTTAGGAGATACCAGAACAACTTCCCAGATTTCTGTTTGAAAGGAAGTGAATTTCCAAGTCAACTTCCTGGTGCAAGAAATCTGGCGGCTGTGAGTGCAGAGGAACAACTGCTCGCCCTGATGAGAGGAATAAGGGAAGGGAACACATTTACACAGGATGTATAGCCCAAAAGCTCTATAGCGTTCAAATTTAATGCAGTGTTATGTTATTTTAGTTTTAATTTATTTTATAAAAGATAAAATAATTTTGTGAATGGTGAAGTTTTATCTTTTATAATATTGTTAGTGTGCCGGACCAGAATGAAACAAATCAAAATTAAATTATTTGAATTTAGTGGCAGTTTCTTTCGTAAACTCAAGTATAGAGCGTCAGTCAGGACTTGTGGTTAGAGTATGAGCTGAGGTGAACTTTGTTTAATGTGGACAAGCAATGGGTATTTTAACCATGTTATAACTGTGGGGGGTCTCCTAACTTCTCCACAGACAGTCTTGATCCATTTTATGTGATAAGTTTTATGTTACTATTAGACTTAGAGCTGTGAATTGATGACATAATGTTAGAATTCTGAACCTTATGTATTTGGGTTTAGTGAGTCAAAATCTGTAGTTATGTTACTAATGCCATTGCAAAATGTGTGTGTAATATTGGTGCACGAGACTGAAAGGCTGGTTTCAATACCAGTTCTGAAGAAATGTTTTATCTGAGATTGGTGTGACCTGACATCTTACATTTGATTTATCAGAAGACAGTGGGTGTAAATGTTCACCAGTTCACTGCTTCCAATCCTGGCGTGAATTGTGTTGTTGCAAGCCATGTGAGTGCAAGTCCCATCATTTCGCTCTGTCTGTTAATGCTTACAGATATTTGTGTAACTCTGCTTCACGGAAGGTTGTGGTCATGTGATTGGCATTGATGTTTCATATTTAAGGGGTCTCATACTCTGGAGAACATCCGTCCTGACTGAGGACATAGCCGGCATAGCGACGGGCTAGATGGCTGGGATTTGATTCCTGGCAGGGGCAAGAGATTTTTCTCTGCTCCACAGCAGCTAGAGTTTGGGGCCCACGCTGCATTCTATCCAATGGGTAATGGGGGCTCTTTCTGCAGAAGTAAAGCAGCCAGGGCATTAAGCTTACCACTCACCACAATCTAATGCCAAAGTCAAGAATGGTGGAGCCATACCTCAACTCCCCATATTTCATCATGGTGTGGTGCTTAATTAAGTACAGGGCAGCTGTAACTGCTATATTTACTTTCCAGGCAAAAGCTGAAATGGTACTTTAAAAGAGGCCACGACCGCTTCCTTCTAATTTCATCTTTTAAATTCATCATTGACAAATCATCCTATTGTTGACACAACAAAACAAGTGCAGTTTATAAAATGCCATGAAATGAAAAATGAATCATTTGACATTTTGCTGGAGTTGGACTGCTACTGCCAACAACACATTCAGAAAGAATATAAAAAAATAAAAACTCAAATATACATATATTAGTTTATAGATCTGTTAAGCCTGGTGGGTCTTGATGATTGGGATACTACATTCATTCATTCATTCATTCATGGTTATGCTACTTTAAATTACTCAGATTATACAGGGTGTCCAAGGAGGAAAGATCAATATTCTGGGAGGTCATAGTATCCGCCATTTTAAGCAAAAAAAAAAGTATATACATGTGTCCTATTCTGAATGGTTTCCGAGATGAAGTTATTTCACGGTACAGCAGTACACTTTTCAAATGAGCAACACACCATGTCCTCACACGAGTTGCAAAGTGCATTGATGTTGATGGAATTTTCAGAAATATATTATACTAGGTAAACTGTACCAACTTTGTCACTTGAACAATAAATACCGGAACTAGAAACAGTACGTAATATCTCCTTATCAATATATCTGGGACTGTACAGTGAAATAGCTCTGTCTCAGAAACTGTTCGGTATAGGACAAACATACATATATACTTTTTTTTTGCTTACAATGACCGATGCTATGGCCTTGCAGAATATTGAACTTTTCTCCTGGGACACTCTGTATAGCATCAAACGATAAAGTGATTAGTGAATGATGGATTTGAAAAGATATAGGAGTTGGTTAAGGTCTGATTTAAGGTGTTTGCCTCTGTAGATTGAGGAAAATCGTATAAATGCTTGGTTATGATATGGCCTCCAGGCTGATTTCAACTCAAATCTTCATGACTACAGAGCATACTGCAAACCATTTGCCTGACATATTTGGTTGATTAGTGGTCTGCAAAGTTGGTGCTTGATTCTGGTTTGGCTTACTCTTTGACAATGATGATGAAGGCAGTACATGCCTCCAAAACATCGGGAAGACTTCTACCAGACTACACAGTGTCACTGCCTTAAAAACTTCAATTTCAGTCTGAGCCCATAAAGTATTTCAAAAGAAGTCCCGTGAAATGTGTCATATGTGCAGTTGGTGGACGGTGACAGCTGATGTTGCGAATGAGAATGATGAAAGTATGTAAATAGTTCTGTTTTTTATTACAGGAAGTGCTTGGCATGTCTAAAGAAGAATTCTTGGAGCTGCCTACATGGAAACAAACTAACATCAAGAAGGCAGTAGGCCTTTTTTGATTACTGGCCTACAGGCTTATGAAGAGGGGCATGACAAACCTTTCACAAAGCGTTTATCTTTCCATGTTCATGATGGATAAGCCATGTACTTCATGGGAATCATGTAGAAAAGTATTCCTTTCATTCACCATGCAAATGACAACCAGAGAGCTTAATTTTATTACATGAATTTTGATACGTACATATACAAATAAGAATTGAAAGTATGCATTTCATGTAGGTGTAGACAATTCTGAACCTTAAAATGCTTGTATGTCTTACTGTTCACTGAATGTGCCCATTTTAATTAACATTCTCATAAAAATTGGCTGTGGGTGAAATTTTAGTGGGAGAATATGTGCAGTGTCTGAAGTATTTGTTTTCATGTTTTCTGACACACTCGTCTTTTTTAAGATTTCGGTATTCACATTGTGCTTGGAATATGATGGCCTCTTATTGATGTCCAACACAGTGGTCTGAATCAAAATCGGTTAACCTATTTTCCACGGCTTTGCTCAATGACACAGATGACTCGCTCAGAGTTGTACTGGCCGTGCAATAACGCATGCTAATTTTATTTTGTTATTCAGTGATCTGAGACTGATAAAATTCATTCTCCTAATATGAATCTGGGGTAGTCAGATTGTCTTATATCGAGTTTTGTGCACAGTAATTGGAAGCTGGGTGGAGTAGTGCACATGTTCAGTTTGTTCCTATTCAGATGTGTGAAGCACAGGGAAAGCTATGGTGTAATTTACAGTGTATAATAATATGTGGATATCATAGTACTCTGTCTACTGACTGATAAGTAAACCAGCAGTGGTATGGTGGAAACACGTTGCTGATAATGTATGTTTATGCGTGTGTGAAAGAGGCAGTGGAGACCTTATGTCACATAACTAAGTTCTGGTGTTTAACCCTTTGAAGCACAGATTTCTTCTAAATATTTAACAATTCAGTTCCTACTCCACATGAAACACACTGTGTGTCCACTGCAAAGACCAACCAGTTAAGGTTGTTCGGGGAAACAGTTTTCTACTATGAGAGTTTATAGGAAAAACATACAGACCCTATTCAGAATACATAAATTTTTAATATTAAAGCAGGTCGTATGTGTAGTAACCACTGTGCTTTAAAGGGTTAAGGCTGAGTGTTAGACCTGTGCCTTTCACACAGAATTATGGTATTTATCTAGTAAAAATCAAACACATTGACAGGAACCAACTGATGTTGGTAGCTGTAAATCTTCTAGTCCCTTGACGTGACTTAAACAATGTTGTGTTCCAGTTACATTAACTATGTGTAAAAATATCAGTTTTGAGAAGTGTGATTACCGCCAGCGTTGCCTTACGAAAATATGCTTCCTTTTGCTATACTTCCTGACTTTTTAAGTATTTTGTGTATATAATGACCTATTTGTATGATAAGCGGGTTTAGTTGACAAGCAAGTATATATTTGAAAAAATATTGATGCCAAATTGTAACTTACTTTCCTTGTATATTAATATTTTCAGAATATACGGGACAGAGAACCACTTTTAAAGCCTTACCAGATGTACATTTTCAATGTGGCCTGGCTGTTTCAACAGGCAATGAATACTTCACCTCTTAAACATTACTGAACTCTTAACTAAGGGCATGGTGACTTAAAGGTAAGGAGATGCTGCTGGCACAGACCGCTGCTCTCCAGTTTAAAAATCATGTCACTACTATATCATGAAGCTGTGAATATTAACAAGTGTAGATATTGTGGCAGAATTGTATATCACTCTTTCTTATTTTTTGTACATAACGTTTCCATTTGTATAACTAAAATAATTAAGTTATGCTTAATAAGTTAATAAAATTAAAATGTAATTTTCATTGCAGTGTTGTTTAAATTTTGTTCTCTTAAAATATTTGTGTGTTGTGATGTGATAAGTACTTTTAAGGTATTTTTATAGTGGGGATGCTCGGCTTGTGACAATTCCTTGAGAAACCTTGTAGTGCTATTATGTATTGCCTTTGGATGTATGTCTGGAAAAAGGAAAATCATGCAAAACCCAAATAAGAACAGTCATCATTGGTCAAAATTTTTAATCTGCTGCATTTGAAAAATAGAGTAATAGCTGTTAACAGTGCCCTTAATCCGCTTGGTAACTTGCTGGACGTAAAGAAGTGTTACATTCAGTGCTGTTATGGAAGCATACAGAATGGGGAATTACGTAATCTATTTCAATAATTTTAATACGACTGTAATTATAATATCCTTATAAGAAATTGATAGTGCTGCTACCACTATTAGGTTCACATTTCATTTTTTATTTCAGTTCTTTTAACGAGGGTATCTCTCCCCATCTTCAGGACTGAAATGGATGTGTCACAGTGTTTGGGAAACACAGTCCAGAACACTGCACATAAATATTTATTGTAATATTCAAGTAATAAGGAAAAGTTCTGAGATGTGACTGTTCAGATTGTTCAGTGATTGTCTTCAGGGGTTTGCAACATTTGTCTTGTAAGCAGACATGTTGGAAAAACATAGCTGCCTTCAGTTCCAGGGTTGAAGTGACTAGTTAATTAGTTATTGGAGAGGGTGGGTTACCCCATGCACCGCGACCAGTTTGATCTATTGTGCTTCCCTCTATGATATTCTACCAGTCTCTATACCCTACCGATATTGGTGCGTACCATTAGTCCCGACCGAGCCAGCGAGTTCTCTACTGGCTTGGCGGTATCTATAATGCTTCCCCCATCTATCAGAGGCATTAGAGACTACTGTTGGGCAGGAAACGTCCTTGAATTTGGCTCAGTGACCTCCTTTGGAGATATGAGGTTCTTTTACGTGCCGTAAAGCTACAACACGAGACACGCGGCTTAAAGTCCCTCCCGGAGGACTTGTTCCCTGAATTTTTCCACCCTTAAAAATTCAACGACCTCCGCCAGGTTTGAACCCGCATACCACGAGTCATGAGGTGGGAACGTTACCTCTAGACTACAGAGGCCGCTTTGAAGTGACTAACTTCAGTCTTGAAAATGGAGACAGCACATCCGTCCACAATATCATCTCCTACAAGTCTACATGGTGTCACAACCCAGAAGGTGGCCATGAACCTATATTCTTTAGGTACTTAAACTGAGCCTTTGCCCAGGGGGGCTCTGCCCTACCTTTTGTCAGTTCATCCAAACAGGCAGCAGTGTCTGAATTCACTATTACTGGCTTAAAGTATTGAATATTAACTTATGTATGGCATTTTAAATTGTCCACTATTAATTTTTTATTGGGGCAGGGTGAGACAGTCCTGTTAGAACTTTAGCTGTAGGTGGCCTATCACATCCCCTGATGATGGATGAGAGAACTGGAGCATTTAGTGGAATGAAGTGAGAGGGAAAATTATAGTACTTGGAGAAAACTTTGTCCACCATAAATCCATGAACTGATTGATATTTAACCCTAGCTATTGCATGGCTCACAATGCTGGTAGCCAAATTTTAACTTGGGAGTAATGGTATTAGTAATGAAAAATTCAACACCCAACCAGCTGAACAGTGCACTTGCCTTTGGAGTAATGGTCAATTAACATCTACAAACATGAACCGAGTACTTCAGAGTTGACTTTTGGCTATCTACAAAGCCTGAACATTTCACTGATAACAGACGGACACTTCCTCCATACCCATCCTGCTTATTCCAGACTCCAAAGATGGCAACTGTGATGTACTTCAGTTGCAATGGCTCAATTCAGAGGTCAGTACTGTCTATTTGATACTGAACTTATCAAGATAACACAACAGTAGATTTATGCAGGGTGTGTCAATGAATTGGGCAATTTGGCAGCGGTGTTTTTCCTGGATTGGTTGGAGTGGGGAGGATGCCACTACCGCCACCCAGCAGCCTACTTCAAAGCGTTTTAGTTCTAACACACATGAATAAAGTGTAAACATAAAAGCATTTGGTTTTATACGTAATAATACAAATGCCGTCATGAATGCAACAATTTATTTGGTTGTGGATCTTTTGTCTTTTCTTCCTCTAAACTACATTTGGTTTTTCTGAATTAACTCGCTGAAAACAGAAGTCTATTTCCCAAAAATAACATCCGACAGATGACCACCATTCCGCTGTAAGCACTCTGTAAGTCTCCTCCTAAAGTCACTCATTACACTTTGCAGCATCTCTACAGAAATTTGTTCAACTTCTTCCCGAATTTGACGTTTCAACTCCTGAACTGTTTGGGGTGCTGGAGCTTTGGAAACTTGGGATTTCAGATACCCCCAGAAAAAAAATCACATGTGGAAAGATCAGGTGACATGCTTCATGCACATCCAGGCCAAGTCATGAATATCTATCAGGTAGACGAATTATATGAAAACGCATACATGGGAGCATCCACTGCTGAAAATGCTGCCAGTGGTTTTAGGAAAGTGGGTCCATGTACCTGTAATACCAGCATCTTCAAGTCACATGAGTTTCTGCTTGCCGAGAAACTTAGAGCAAGCTTCTGTTGAAGCCCCCAAAGAACCTCAATCAAGCATCTCCTGTGATTAAGTTAATATTAACCTAGTCATAGCTATCGACATTTTATGAGAAACATCACAAGTTACATGTACAAGAGTCTAGTAGATGCTAAGAAGACTGTAAACCTGAAGGTATTTCAAAGTAGATCTTGGGAGACGGAATGTGCCTGAAACTGAAAGAAAATTGGTTTACAGACAGAAAAACAATACATGGAGGATAGGACAAAAGCTGAGTTCAGTATTCTGAAGAAAGCCAGTAAAATGCAAACCAAGAAAGGAGAGGTTCTCTTAAGAAGCAGCCACTCTTGAGATTCAGAAGCAGAAATGAGAGCTCAACTCAGCGATGGCGATGAGGAGGCTGTCTGTATTGCTGCAGCCTGTTCACAGAGGACCCAGACGGTAAACTCACATGTCAAGTGAAGCAGAAGTATGTACTATTATAACCTCTGCATATAAGGAACCCTGGTGGCCTAAAATGGAGAGATGGGTTTCTTTTTTATTTTGGGAATAGCTGTTTAAGTGATATTTCTAAATGTTTTCTTTCCATTCCATTGTATTTGTTGTTCAATTAATAACATTTTCATGAAATTAGCACACATCTAACATTTCATTTGTCTCAGTAATAAGCCTTCAAAAGAATCCCCATATTAGGCGACTTTCCCTTACCTGAAATAGAAAAGGTAGGTCAACAGGAGACACAAATGCCCTTTACAGAAACTACATACAGTTAAATATAGAACTTGAGAATACCCGTGCCAGTACAACACTTGTCATTCGTTTGAGAATCTGAAAACACTATACTTTGAAAAAATCATTACAAATATTTCAAATTTCCCCTCAGTGCTGAAAATGTCCCTTTTCATATTGTCAAAAGTTAGTAACTTGACACAGGGTTTCAAATGATAACTGGATTTATTGAACATTTATAATTTGTAACTACAAGTAAAAGCCTTAATTTTTTACACATTCTAAAGTCCACTTTAAAAGCATCACACATAGTCTTCTATGTCTTCACTAGTTATTGCTTGGCGATGGCTCCCAATGGTGGAGATTCTTCATCTCCTGTGCTCATGTCCTTGCTGACTGGCAACTGTCTCACAACTAACTTCTAAGTCAAGGTTATGTTATGATATGACTGATGGTCAGTTGGCCAATCTATCTTGGTGTCAAGCCCCCATCTAGAGCCTAAGACCAGAATTTTGTCACTATTGTTGCGGGTTTGTTAAATGGGGTACCCTCTTTGATAAGAGAACAGCTCTGTTGTTTCAAATTCCTTCTGGCCCTCGCCAGCACAGTTATTCTTTGTTCTGATCCCCATGGGACTCAATGACCAACTGTCTCAGATTTGAGACTCTACCAATCTGGAGGGGCTAGGTCCCTATATCCCCCAGGAAGAGGGTTGCCCATTTATACCCCCAGTCACTACGTTCCCTTTTCACCGTCTCCTCCGACCTGCCTGCACCCCACATGAGTGTAACTAACTCGTGCACCAGCTCCCAGTTGGTGTCGCTTCCTTGCAGGATGAGTCAAGCGAGCTATTGACTAGCAATGGCCTGCGTGTTGATGTGGGCAAATGTTTACTAGCCATTGGCCAGAGATGGCTACCTCTTCTGACTCCACAATTCTGCCTTTCAGACATTATGTCACACTTTATTGCTGACACTTTTCTCTTGTTTGAATTCCTCCTCAAAGACTGCTTTCAGCAGTTTATTTTCATCCTGCAGAAAGGAAAATGAATAGAATATTCTTTACTGAATTCAGAGTCCTCTTCTCACACATTTAGTGCTGGAACAGTGGAATGTTGCACACAGCAGAGTACAGCAACTGACGTTATGATATGCCACTGCAACACCAGCTGCTGAGTTATGACAACACTTGAAGGAAGGCAAGATTCAGACCACAAAGACTGGCAAGTGGACTACTGACTGAAGGTCTGGTCATGGTTCTGTAATGACTGTGGACCTTGGTGCCAGTGTTTCTGATCACAGACAATGAAACAGCTACCAGCAGGTCACAATAGCAATTTCTAGTTTGAATTGCGAGCATTTTGGTCATAAGCTGAACACTACAGTAAAACGCCCATTTAAGGTTTCTTCTGCGTGTGTCAGATTTCAACACTAAGCTCAGGAAAGTAGGGAATATAGAAAATTTGATACTAAGATAACTGACTTGGAAGCACTGAAGCTGGTAATGAACAAGAGAAAACATAAATTAAGGAACACAAGAAAGTTGTCCGACTTCATTTTGTTCGAGAACTAAGATGGTTTACTCTGGATATTCACTATGGGATTTTGTTCTACTTGCAATACATTTGGAGAATGCTTGCATATCATAAGTATTTAACATGTTATTGATACGTGTTACTA